CCGCGTCTTTTTCAGCTGCCCTGTTCAGGAAAACCCCTGCCAACAGCGCAGTTTCAATCCCTGCCTGCAGGACCACATTAAAAATGTCCAGTCCTATGGGGAACAAATGAACTCCATCCTGTCGCATAACGTTATCATTATTTTTATTATTTTATTATTTATATAGTGCCATCAGATTCCTTAGCGCTGTACAATGCCAAAATGGTGCACTGCTATGCCTCCCAAGTGCCTAACAAACCTGGAAATGGTTATATTCACCTTACGCCTAAAGTTTTTCAATGCCTTCCCATTCCCACCACTGCGCCAAATCGAACACAGAAAATCTACGACCAGACAAGGGTCAGATCCTTAAATAGCACAAAACAGTGCACCAAGTCGTGCTTCATTACATGTATGAGAACCACTGACCACCCGCATGCACCACTAGAGTTACTGGCCCTGACACGCAGTGACTAAGCTGAATGTATTCTGCATACAAGCGGTCCCAACACAAACCCCCGAATACCCCTCCAACGTACCTGGACTACGTCAGATATGAACCCGAGGTTACGGCCATATGATCTATCCTCAGCCCGCCTAGCCGCTCATTAAATGAACGAGTGTCCCAAGATCCATACAAAGTGAGGAACCACACCTAAAATAATAACAGAACAAACAATGGGTGAGCTGAGCAGAATAAAACCTACAGTAAGTGGGGACGCACATAGAGTTAAAAACACCCTGACTGCCAGCGCCCAAAACACTTAAGCACCTCCGATGAGAGCCACATCAAGCTAGCCTGCGTTGCCGCCCCTATCTGAAAGGAGTGAGTTGTGTAACTACCCGGAGACAAACCAATACCAACCACGCAGGATCACGGAACTCTGGAAAATTGAAAGCGGGTTAGGGAAGACCCATTTTGATTTAGGAGAAGGGAACCATCCCACGACCCACGCACAGACAGGAACTCTTGCAGCAAAATAACTTGACAAAATGGGGATCCTGTAGCACCAACCCGAACACGCTCACCCACTCCTTGTCGAATGGTCTTAGAGCGACAAATGACCAGTATTAGGCTGCTCTCAGTGACCGACATGTAGCAGGGCAACCCGAACCCGAGAACTGGGAGCCACCAGCTCCCCTATTTGCAGGGCACCAAAAAAACAAAACACAAATGCCACTCAGAACAAACGGACTTCGTATGACGAAGAACAGACCTGGGGCAAGAACTCCACGAGCTGACACAACAACCCATAGGAAATAGGTCAACAAGAGTCAGGCCTATGACCCTTCTTCCAATCCTTCAAGACCCGAGTCACACAAAATGCCTTGGTCACATCCTGCCACCCGAACCACTGGAACAAAAAAGACAGTGCCATCAAATACCGTTCGTCCACAGAGACAGACTTACCTGTAGCATAAATTGATTCTAGTAAGGCCAGCATCGCCCCCAATCTAAAGTATCCCTGGAAGCTCAGATCTCCCACCACCTACGCCACACGGCCGCATATAACTTCCACGAAGACTCCGATAAGGACCCCATCACCAAACGCCTTAAATGTCGGAAACCAGGTCCCGTAAGTCTGTCAGGTAAGGGGTTCCCATCAGCGCCGCCTCCGAAGCTGCCTCTCTAAACCAGTCCCACTGAAACTGAGAAAGAGAGTTGGCTATAACATTCAGGACCCCTGGGACATGACACACAACAATCCACACATTTAGTGACAAACTAAGCAATACCGGAGCAGACGTGAAACGATTGACCACATGAACCACACTCATTTTGTCTATGGGAAATAATTCCAAGAACGTTAAATTGCCCAATAAGTCACTGTCCTGCCATGGACGAGGCCAGGCCTCCGTGCACTACTGCCCTTGAAAGTAGACACCGAAGCCCACAGAGCCTGACGCATTGGTATATAAATCCAAGTCACCATTTAAAATCCGCGGCACGTAACCAGCAAGATTGCCCATTATACATACCAAGAAAGGAACTCCATAACTGTAGAGCTTCCCGATGCCGTCGAGTGATACAGATAAAATTAAAAGGCTGCTTGACCCCTGTGACGAGACCAATCTCGCCACATTGCATTGGAGAAGCCTGGTTGCTCGCCTGTTGCCTTTGGATTATGGCCCCATGTTAAAAGGCTTGATTTTCCCCTTCAAAGAAATGAAAGCCGGGTCATTTGGTGCTTGCCCTGTTTGAGCGGTGATACCCCTGATAGCTATGCCATGGAGCCCATTCGTATAATGAAAGACTATGGGAAAGACTTTGGCTCCATGGCAATTGAACTGTATGTGTGTGCTCTGAGCGCCATTCAGTAATAATGTGCGCTCAGATCTGAGCTATCTGGGGATATGTTGAATGTACCTGTTTTGTGCAATGGCTGCACAGTTATATGTTTTTATGTGTTTTATTGTCTTTTGCTGCCATGTGTTCAATGGAGTTTTGCCTCTGTCTTTGGAGATAATTGGATTACTTCCCAATTATCTCCAGGATAGAAGACTCTGTGGAACTGGTTTTGGGCAGAAAAGCCATGCTTCCTTTGGTCACAAAGGACTACAACCTATCTTGTGAACCACTGGACCAATTTGTATGATTTTGACGTATGTTTGTATTTGGAGTATGCTGATTCTGAAAATGTAAGGTTTTTTTTGTTTGTTTTTTCAAATTGTTTTATTGAAAGAGTTAACATTTTACAAGAAAATGGTCAATCGATATGAGATGAGTCAAGTATTGATATAACAAACGCTGTGAGTACTTTACCAAATTACAAGCATCAGTGTGTGTTTGCTTGCGGGTCACCAATTTCTGGTGGTGGAGATCTAGGAACTAGAAAAACTTGTAGAGCTGGCCCAACCACAGAAGGCGGTATTATCTAGAGTGCCTGCCACTAAGGGGGTTAGAGGACATCTGTAGTGCAAATGAAGCAAACAGTAGAGACGTTCACGGCCTATCCATGGTGGTTGTGGCTATACGTTTAAATCCCTGCTTCCCATTGATCTGTGTTGTGCCTGATAAGGATCACACCTGGAATGCAAAGTGTTATGCCATTGTTCCTACAGTTATTTATTTTATTTTTTTTCCTACCCGTTTTCCTACCCGTTCTAAGGCACCGGAGTATTTTTGGCCAGGTGTGGACCCGCTAACTGACGGCGTGCTGTGTGAGCGTGCTTGTGCCTAGTTGGGCTTAGGACCGTGTACGTTTTGTGTATTCGTGCCTGTCTGTAGGTATGAGATCCAAGGTTGCCATGTAGCTATGAATGTTTCGTATTTGTGTGAGAGGGAATACGTAAGTTCTTCCATGTCTTTAATGGAATCTACTTTGGTGATCCACTCTCTTATTGTTGGTGGTTGACTTTGCTTCCATTTAGTCGGGATCAGGCCGTTGGCTGCAGTGAGTAGGTGGCTTATCAGTGTTTGTTCTGTCTTTGATGTGTGTGTTGGGTATATCAAAAACAGGCAGGTTTCCGGATTGTGAGGAAGTCTATTTCCTGTGATTACGTGGATAAGATCTAGGATTTTCTCCCAATACTTTTGAATCCCCTCGCACCCCCACCATATGTGACCTGTGGTTCCCTCAGTGGTTTTGCATCTCCAGCATAGTTTTGAGGAGTTGGGAAAAAATTTATGTATGCGGGTTGGGGTATAGTGCCATCGTGCTATGCGTTTGTAGTTGGAAAATGTAAGTTTTATGTGAATGTGATGCATACTTTTCAAGTTATGAATAATGTGGAAAAATTGTATTTCTCTGCTTGTTATAATTACATTACCCATTGTGTAAGGTAATTGAATCACAGGCAGAGGGGAGGATTTTGTGTGGGAGTGTCTGAGTGTATTGTATGTGTTTATTGGTTGTGTTCCAATGTGGGTGGTACTAATGTGTATATAAGCACAATAAGCCCACAGCTCTGACTGTTCACTGCTTGACCCTCAACACGGAGCCTTGTCTCGTTCTTGGGGGGATTTATTGTATGCTGTTCCAGTTTGACTGCTAGGAGTGTAAACCTATTCGTATGGTTTTTCCTATTCGGCTGTTTACGGCATTCATATGGTTTCCTGTTCGGCGGATTGGTGTTCTGCAGTAGCTGTGCCTGTGTCTCTGGAAGGGGAAGATCTACTAAATGGCAGTTTAACCCCTTTATGCCTGGGGGTGCCGTTACAACCCCAACCTTCGACAAGGACAGCCACTGACAAAAAGCCCTGCCCATAGATAAAACCTGACATGCAAAATTCAAATTCCCTAACAAGACCTGCAACTGATGTAGCTGCCCTTTTTTCATACCTTTGACCGAGTCCACCAAGCAAAGCAATTGAACCAGTTTATCCTCCGGAGGATGGAAAACCATGTCCTACGAATTCACTTTTATCCCAGATAAGAAAGAACCCGGACCAGCCTCCACCACTGGGACTCTAAAGTCCGACGTGACCCGACGAACAGACTCCAGAAGCACCTTGCAGTCCTCTGACTCTTGCGGACCCACAAACAAAATAATCGTCCAGATAGTGAGTCAATGACAACAGCCCCGATACCCAAGAAACCACCGATTCAAGAAATGATGCAAGCATTTCAAAGTATGAACATGAAATAGTGCAACCCATTGGCAAACACATATCAAAAAAGAACAACCCCTGAAAGTGGCATCGCAACAAATGGAAGCAGTCAGGGTGCACTGGGAGCAAGCAAAAAGCGGACTCAATGTCCGACTTTGCCACTGTGCACCCATCCCAGCCTCCCGCACCAACTGAAGCGCCCAATCAAAGGAACCTGAGACATCTCCTTATCAATTTCATCATTCACCGACCCGCCTGACGAGTAGGACAGGTGATGAATGAGGCGAAAAGCCCCCGGATCCTTCTCGTGCACCAACCCTAGGGGAGAGACCCGTAAATTGTGGAAGGGCAATGAATCGAACGGCCTGGCCTAACTACCTAAAAGAACTTCCTTCCTAAGCTTCTCTACAAGAATCACTTCCTTGCCCACCACCGAACGCAAATTACCCAGAAATGACGGGGAATCCGAATGGACAAAAACCAACATAAAACCCATCTAACAAAATCTGCGCCTCCCTACGCTTGGAGTACTGGTCGAGCCACGGGCCCATCCTTACTACACTACCGGCGTCCTCCGCTATTGGTACGTCCTCTCTATGCAACTGACCTGCAACTGACGCAGCTGCCCTTTTTTCGCACTTTTAACCGAGTCCAACAAGCAAAGAAATTGAACCAGTACGCCCTCAAATTAGGTGTAAGAACCTCAACAACGCTTGCGCCTTATCCGGAAAAAGCCATAACAAAAGGCTTGCAAAAATGGAGAACCCCTGAAGCCAGTTGCCAAAGTTATGGGGCAGCTACTTGCCCTTTTCCCCATCTGACAAGTCACCTCGCCACGGCCTATCCACTAATTCCCTATCTGGGGAACTAGGGACAGCAAATCCACATACTCACCTTTAATAATTTTGTCCCTGATGTCCAGCGAAACATGAAACACACTCTATACCCCTACCCTGGCTCTAGGACTAGGCAGGAAGAGACTAAGGGGCAGAGGAAGAGAGAGAACCAACCCCCCAGGGAGCCTACCAAGGCACTGCCCTAAGCAGACTAAGCACTTCCCCCTGACTTTGAAACCCAGGAACATTACCCTGGGAACACTCTCCCCCTCCCCTGGTCCCAGCCAGCATGTCCCAGGCGCTGGCGCAATACTCACGGTTGTCTGCCTGAGGATCCTATACAGAAACCAATATGGAACTGGAGCTGTCCGACCCTGGAGTGTTGATTGCTGAACCACAGCTGGCCGCCAGGCCCGATTGTGATCCTTTCCTTGTGGCATTAATAGTGACACCTTCTCAGGATTACGACCACCTGTACCAATTTTCAGAGGAGCAATACTTGGAGGTATGCGATGAGCACCACGCGGGATGTATGTTTGACAGCCGTGCTTTACACGTTACCTTTATTGGCTTCTTTCCCATGTATAATGTATATTGACTATCCTTGTGCATGTTTTATATTTTCAAAAAATTTTTGAATTAAAAATAAAGTTGAAAATTAATAAAATAAACAAAAGACAATATTACAGTGCTAGGTGTAAATATTTATTTGTTGGTGCACACACATTTATACGTTCCAGACGAAAACTGAATATTGTTATATTAAACTATAGATTTTGCTAATTTAGGAGCTGATAAAAATCCTCCATTACCTAATCGCATACACCGCGAGCTCTGTGCTTTGGTACCGTACAAATACAGTGTCTGCACTTTTAACAACACACCTTCCTTTGTTTGCCCAGCTGGGAAAGAACCCAGAATAACTCCCCCATAAAGAAATCCCCTATATATATTCCAACGAACTACTGGCCTGTGTTCAATATGCAGTGAGGATTTAACTTCATACAGGCCTATTGTCAGTGGGAGTAGTTCAGAGATTGTAGCAATCGAAAGGGTTTAAAGGAACATTTTATGGATCTATAGAAGGTTGTGTAGGGAGAGGTTATATGGAGTAATAGGAGGAGTTATAGGGAGAGGTTATATGGAGTAATAGGAGGAGTTATAGAGAGAGGTTATATGGAGTAATAGGAGGAGTTATGGTGAGAGGTTATATGCAGTAATAGGAGGAGTTATAGAGAAAGGTTATATGGAGTAATAGGAGGAGTTATAGGGAAAGGTTATATGGAGTAATAGGAGGAGTTATAGGGAGAGGCTATATGGAGTAATAGGAGTTATAGAGAGAGGTTATATGGAGTAATAGGAGTTATAGAGAGAGGTTATATGGAGTAATAGAAGGATTTATGGTGAGAGGTTATATGGAGTAATAGGAGGGGTTATAGAGAAAGGTTATATGGAGTAATAGGAGGAGTTATAGGGAAAGGTTATATGGAGTAATAGGAGGAGTTATGGTGAGAGGTTATATGGAGTAATAGAAGGAGTTATAGGGAGAGGTTATATGGAGTAATAGAAGGAGTTATGGTGAGAGGTTATATGGAGTAATAGGAGGAGTTATAGAGAAAGGTTATATGGAGTAATAGGAGGAGTTATAGGGAAAGGTTATATGGAGTAATAGGAGGAGTTATAGGGAGAGGCTATATGGAGTAATAGGAGTTATAGAGAGAGGTTATATGGAGTAATAGGAGGGGTTATAGAGAAAGGTTATATGGAGTAATAGGAGGAGTTAAAGGGAGAGGTTATATGGAGTAACAGGAGAAGTTATAAAGAGAGGTTATATGGAGTAATAGGAGGAGTTATAGGGAGAGGTTATATGGAGTAATAGGAGGAGTTATAGGGAGAGGCTATATGGAGTAATAGGAGGAGTTATAGGGAGAGGTTATATGGAGTAATAGGAGGAGTTATAGTGAGAGGTTATATGGAGTAATAGGAGGAGTTATAGGGAGAGGTTATATGGAGTAATAAGAGGAGTTATAGGGAAAGGTTATATGGGGTAATAGGAGGAGTTAGAGAGAGAGGTTATATGGAGTAATAGGAGGAGTTATAGAGAGAGGTTATATGGAGTAATAGGAGGAGTTATTGAGAGAGGTTATATGGAGTAATAGGAGGAGTTATAGAGAGAGGATATATGGAGTAACAGGAGGAGTTATAGGGAGAGGTTATATGGAATAATAGGAGGAGTTATAGAGAGAGGTTATATGGAGTAATAGAAGGAGTTATAGGGAGAGGTTATATGGAGTAATAGGAGGAGTTATAGAGAGTGGTTATATGGAGTAATAGGAGGAGTTATAGGGAGAGGTTATATGGAGTAATAGGAGGAGCTATAGAGAGAGGTTATATGGAGTAATAGGAGGAGTTATAGAGAGAGATTATATGGAGTAATAGGAGGAGCTATAGAGAGAGGTTATATGGAGTAATAGGAGGAGTTATAGAGAGAGGCTATATGGAGTAATGGGAGGAGTTATAGAGAGAGATTATATGGAGTAATAGGAGGAGTTATAGAGAGAGGTTATACGGAGTAGTAAGTGGAGGTATAATGAGAGGTTATATGTGTTAGTATTATGAGATATGAAAGATATTTTATAGAGCAATAGTATCTGCTTTCATATGATATTAATAGCGTTGTAAAATGTCTTGGTGCTTTATAAATAATAATGATAACCTTTACTGTCATTGATTTAACAAATGAGAAAAGTAACAAAGAATGAAAGAGAGAAGGTAAAAATAACAAACAAAACACAACAAAAGCACTTAATTACAATCTTTACCTATGCAGTTCATGCGCTGAGGACTCCTGAAATTCGAAGTTTCTCTGTACACAGACCTCCCCATGAGAAAAGAACAGACATTGCAGAGACCACACCGTCCACTTTGTTGTAAGGAGATAAGAGATGGTCTCTTTTAAGCATTCCTGCTCCAGATGGGAGACAAGACTCTACCCATCTCTCGACAGGTCCTGCTGATGAAAAGCTTTTGAAGTGCTGACATCTAAGAGCTAGGTAGACCATGGAACCTTCAGATCCCTTGTGTTATATGCTGTCTGCTAGGACTGTGTATATTGCACAGAAAGAGATTTATTGCTCTAATAGTGCCCTGTACATACACACAGGGATATTACATACACATCGGGCGATGCTGGTTCCAAGTGGGACTTCCATTAGAGCACGTTCTAGGTTACCGTCCCAGACCTTTCTTGTTGATTCCAATAAAAAATTATTTTCTATTTAAATTAATACCCAGATAATCCATAAAAACAAAACTCCCTATTATTGGCTATTTATGTATGTGAGTATTTTTAATTAAAATTATTTACAAACATGGCTGAGCCACCTAATTTAGTACAAAATATTAATTTCTCCAAAGTACATGATATTGTTTTTAAAAAATTTTTTATTTAAAAACGAAAAGTAGGCGGACATCTGTATTTTGCTGGAGATGCTGGATTTGGTATTGAACCCCCAACTTGAGATCAAGCGAATGGAAATAATTGTAAAAGCTGAATAGTAAGTGTCCTGGCAATGGCAGGATCTATTCCTAGTGCAGAGAAGTTTCACGTTACAGGGTTTAGGTAAGAAAGGAGACAAATACCAGACGCCAATAATTTCTAAGTGATAATAGTGTGGGTACAATTTGTCCATGCGCTATTAGCAGGTCAAACCTAAAACTTGCACCCTACATTTCACCAATTTCCCAGAGACCCAGAAAAGGGTTTTCGGAGGGAAGCTTCTATCCCCAGAACTGAATAATTGCTCCCTGAAACCACCACGGTGCTACTTTCCACCATGGATAAATTGTGCCTGGTAAATCACAGAGGCTTGACCCGAGGCTGGGTTTGGACAATTCTACATGGAATCCGAGAGCTATTTTCCCAGAATGGGCGCTCAGATCTGCCTGGATCTGATGTAGTACATGTGGGGGTACCTTACTGTTTGATGGAGGTTTTGGGAATATTTCTAAGTTTCACTCTCTGTATGTAGGAGATAATTAGTTTCCAGTAATCAACTCAATAATCTCCCAGACACAAAGACCCCTGGGCAGACTTAAGAAGTTCTGAATAGAGTCCCCAGTCTGGTTATAAATGTATGTACATTTTGCTGAATAAACCACTTCTTGTACAGAAACAAACACAAGGATACAAACACTGACACAGATGCACGTACAGACACACATATACAACAAATGAAGATACACAGATACAAATAGATACACACATAGAGTTACACACACTGACACACATGTAGCAACATAGAAAAACAAAAAACCTTAGGTTAGGTTTAAACAATAGACAACAAATAATAATTAATAATTAGATTTATAATACGAGATCAGAAGGTGGTTGTAACACTTTAATATTCTGCTGTTGTTCCCTTTTGTGTCCTTTTTTTTTTTTTTTGCTTTATGGAATAAAAGGAAGGTACACTGTTAATGTTAATCACATGCAAATATGTGAATCTAATGTATCGGATATATTGGTGGTAATATTATATTGTTAAGTATGTAACCTGCAAAGCTGTGTAAATTTCATTCATGTTCCCTTTCCCTTTTTTCATCCCTAACTGTTGGTAATTTTACTATGAAAACTTTCAATAAAAACTAAATATAAAAAAAGTAAAAACACAAACAGATACAAACACTGACACACATAGTTGCACAGACACACAGATGCACACACTGACATATACAGATTCACACACTGACACACATACTGGTTTACAAATACGCAAATAGAAACACTGCCACACATGCAAATATACAGACACAAAGTTGCAAACAGTGACACACATACAGTTTCACGGACACACTGATACAGATACACATACATACAGATACACAGATACAAACACAGACACACATACAGATACAAACTGACACAAATGCAAATAAGGACAAACATTCAGGTACACAGATACAAACACTGGGGCACACACTGACACACACAAATGCACAGATACAAACACTGCCACAAAGTTGCACAGACACA